TCTTTTGTTCATTCGAATAGATCAGTAATGCTTATGAATAATTATACCATGTTTAATGATATTGAAGGAATATATATGCTTACATATCCACCTGAAAAACGAGATGATTGTCCAATATGTTCAAATGTTCCTGTACGCATTCAAATAAATGAAACAGGAAAATTTCAAGAACTTATTGATTTACTTACTGAAAAATAGTAAGATACAAAACAAAAAAACAAAACAACAAAGTTTGTTTTGATTTTTAAATTTAAAAATAAGATGTTTTTTTTTTATTTAGTCAATTAACTGCTCCATTAATATTGGCAGAAATTAATGGCAATTTGAAGACTTTATATATGACAAGTACAGAACAAATGCGCGACGCAACGAAACCTCATCTTAGGATGACATTACAAGGTTGAAAAAATATTTTTCTTATTCTTATATTGATAATAACGTCTTTCGTTTTCAGAACTTGGATTAACTAATGGCACGGAAATGTTAGTCGGTGATCCAACACGAGCTTCATCATTGCGTGTGATACTTTCATTAACTAGTTCAATGGAAACTGCAACAACGAAATAAATTCCATAAACAATAGTGTTTTTTTTTTATGATATATATTTTTTTTATAATGTACTAAAAATCAAGAGATGACGTTTGTAAACTAACATAAATTTAACAATCGTCTTTACTATTTCAGATGTACATGGCATGACTACTGCAATCGATACGTTCATTTATCTTCAACGAGATATTGAACAGTCATTCCAACGTGTTCAAACTATCTGTAGTTCTTCTCATTATGATCAACAAGAACTTAATCAAATCTTGAATCACATATCATGTACGCTTGATGATTTACAAAAAGTAAATCAATTAATCGATTCAAGATCTACACTTGAAAATCATCCTGTGAATATTACATCCAATCGAAATGCTTCCCATTTATTAAATTTATCTGACAATGAAAATGATTTTAATGAAGAAAATATAAAATTTATACAGCAAAAGCCTAAAACTGAAATATCTATTAAAGATGAAACACAAAAAAATATTAGAATTAGTTATTCAAAAGAAAATGAAAAACCATTATTATCTTCTAATTCAAACATAATCAATACTAAAACAGTTCTCCTACCGTCATTTAATGAACGTGAAGATATTATTAATCATATAAAATTACAATATGATTATTATAAAAATAAAATTCAACCAATAAATAA